TGATTTTTGAAACAATACATTTGTAATTTGACTTAATTATTGTAAAACTTTGAAACTTATAGAAAAAATTAAAGAGATGAATTTCGATTGGTTTGAAATTCTTAAACCATTTTGAATTTCGTGCAAATTGAAACCTAAAACAAATTCATTATAATTTTATAATTTCCAAGTGGTTTGTTAATTTTAAAGTTGCGCAAAATTTTTCATTTAAGGTTAGTGTCCAAGGATAGAAGCATGTGATTAGATATTTTTAAATTCAATATGAACAAAATCCTTTATATTAGGAAGGTATTTTGAATTAAGCCCAATTTTATGCCAACTAAAATGAGAAGAGATTTTGGATTTCAAATTTTCAATTCAAGTTTTAAGGTAAATTTTTCGGCTATCTGATTGTTGGAATAAAAAACACAATTGAATATTTTAAATCAAATATGAGAAAGGATTTTGAATTTCAAATCATATCCAATGATCGAAATTTTTAGAACTTAATGGAACCAAATCCACCAATTTATCTCTTAGGGGTTCAAATGAACTGTAATTTATTAAATGAACCAAATCCACTAAATAAATGAATTGTAATTTATTTTAAAAAAGAAAAAAAAAAGCATCCGGTTAAAACAATTGTAATAGTTGAGTTGATGTTAAAAGAGTTTTTGACTTTTTTGTAAATACTAACGTAAGTTTATATTATTAAATTAGGCGTAATTTATTTTTTTACGAAAATAAAATTTGCAATGCGGTACACGATTATATGTTAAAGATTATTTTTTTTAATTTGTGAAAATGAAAAAGGAATAGTCTAATCTTGCGCAAAAATAAATAACAACTCCACTTAACAAACTCCACATTTAAATGCAATAACTAATGATGCATATTTGTAAATAAAAAATAAAATAAAAACTTGCTATTAATAGTATGCAATTAATGGTCAACCATATTTGACCACAATTTGACTTATTTTTAAAAAATGATAATTCTTTTTATATATATATAGATGAGGAAAATAAATTGTTAAACCAATTAATTCATTGATAAATAAATAAAATACCAATTTTAAAATAAGACTAAAATAAAAGGTCTCAAGAGCGCTTTAAATTCTTTCTCAGCGCATTCACGTTACCGAAGAACCCCACCAAATCCTGCTTGTACGGCAGGTACGACCGCCGCTTCTCGCCACCGTCCCGATTGTACGGCGGCCGCGGCGTCGGAATCACTTCGCCGCCACCCGCCAGCGTTTCTCTAACTGCTTTCGTTTCGTCAGTCAAAACGACGATACTGCTCTTGCTCCCGTCGCTCTGGCTCCTCCGCACGAAATCCTTCACCTTGAACCTCCACCGCTTCGAATTCCTGCACGCGGAGAGGCTTTTCGTAGCCAGGCCTTCCTCCGCCGCCGCCTCCGGCTGACATGGGCAGTACGAATCGGTCATCGGCTGCTCGTCGGCCTCCGATGACGAGGAGCTCGAGGACGCCTTCCAAATCGTCGTCCCCCTTTCCTCGATTAACAGATCCCTAAGCGGATGCCGAACCTTAGACCGGCCCGAACCCGAATTCCGATCACCATCCCCAGTTTGGTCTTCGCTCGGAGATTTCCCCTGCCGCCGGAGCAACAGATATTTGTCGAAAACAGGGTAAACAGGTCGGATCTTACCGTTTTGGAAGATCTCGTCGGCCCGAATCGGGGACGACGGCTCCGATTCCCTGTTCACGAACGCGAAATCGAGATCGAAATACTCCTCGAGATCGCTGGAGTCCGTGTCGGCATTGCAATTATCTGAAATTGCTTCACCTCGTTGATCGACCTGTGCTGGATTATCTCGTATTTCGAAGTAATAGTCGTCGTAAAACTCACCGGAATCGAATTCGTCGGCGACGCGGGCGGCGATACCGGCGAGGTTGGGATCGGAATAGGTGCTGAAGCTTGGGGAGAGCGGGAACAGAAGACCTGCCTGCATTTTTTCAGGAAGCCTTTGTCAACGGCGGAAAAAAAAAAGCCTCGAGTGTGTGTGTTTTGGGGGTGATTTTGAGGTGACTTAAAAGCCGGCGAACGGCGACGGCGGAGGAAAATTTGAGCTGAGCTATGTAACTAATGTAGGTGTATGCACCGAATTTGTTGGCGTGGCAACTGCCTGTATTTTATAGCCATTGGACAAAGACAGTTTTGGATTAGAGTCATAAGTTTTGCTATGGAGCCATCGGATAGCTCGGCTTATGGAGCAATCCATACTTAATCACCAATAGTGCATTGACGCGTGTCCTACAATAAATACAATTTAGACAGGTGCCACTGTATTAAGTGATAGATGACTCCATAAGAAAACAATCCGATGGCTCCATAGAATTTTTGCATATTTGATAATTGATATAGATTGCTTTAAGAAAATATTTTTTTCAATGAAATAAAACGCGTGAAATGAAATCTTTTTGGGATTGAGACATTGAGTGATGGAATATTTTTCCTATTGGGAATGAATATGTGAAAAATATAAAAATTAAAATTGATCTATAATAAAAAATAATAAATATAAATTATCAATAGTTAAAAATAAGAAAAATGCTACAAGTACATAATAAATGTACACAAAGGTGTACATAACACTTACATGGAGTGGGGTCATTTTTTATTTTTGGCGGGTCTCACTCAATGTGAGTGCCTTTATGTACAATATTATGTAGGAGTTTTTTCAATACAAGACCCGAAAGATGGGTAAGCTATCAATTCGGGGCATGAAAGATTTTTTTTTTCTCAATTCGAGACTTAAATGTTACAAAACTATCAAAATTAGGTTATAGAATTAACAAAACTCATAACACCATTAAATTGAGAGTTAAAAAAAAAAATTGATGCTTACTCACAAAAAATAATAAGTAAACATTTGCATAATATTAAAAAAAAAACGAAATAGACTAGAGAAAAAAAAAAACGAGCAAGAGTTTCATATTTTCCTTAATTTTCTCCAACAATCTCGTTTTTTTCTTAATTCTTTTTTCTTTTTTTTCTCTCTTTTTTTCTTTATAACATATTTGTGGTTTAAAACTTCAAATTAACTCTTAATTTAATAGTGTTTTATGAGTTTTGTTAATTGTAAGACTTAATTTGATAGTTTTGTAACATTTAGATCCCGAATTGAGAAAAAAAAAAATATTTCACACCCCGAATTGATAGTTTACCTATCTTTCAGGTCTTTGAGAAAACTCTTATTATGTACCGATAGCATTTTCTTAAAAATAATATGTAAGTTGATGTACAGTAATTGTTGTGGACAATTTGAATGAGAAGGAAAAAAAAAACAAAAATATATGCAGGATATTATACATAGATATTCAAGTACTGTCAACCTAAATAATTCCAAATATAAAGTTTTACTATTATTTCAACAGGAATGCTCCCTTATATACGGTGAAGACATGTTAATATGTCCACCGTTTATGTGGTATCTACACATTGATGATGTATTTTTTTTTAACATATTAACATCACCAATATGTGAATGCCATGTCGATATATTAAAACGTGCCCACCGTGATTATTGTCTATCATTTCAACTAATATTAATTTTGTAATTATTGTATTTTTAATTATATACTCACAGTTATTATGATTTATATGCAGGCCGATATACATAATTGGTGGATTCAATACAACCTTTTTCATGTAGCTAGTTGGGGTGTAAAATTCAAAATTCAAAGATACAGCTCAATTTTATTTTGGTTTGGTCCTAAAGTTAGTATAAGATTTCACTCAAAAATTGTGATTCGTTACGTCATTTCTCATTATGCATATTGTTTCATACCATAAATTTCATTAATATTAAAGTTTTGATTCAAATGTGAACTCGCTTCAAAGTTTGAAGATGCTTCATTGTTGCCAAACTGAATACAATCATTTGATACAAGCATCTAGTCATCAAAACTGAAGTATAAAAATCATTAAATAGGTATCAATTATAAAATATAATTGTTAAAAAAATTATTTGATTATATATCATATTTGATAATAGAAAATAAGTAAGAAAAAGTAGTCATTAATTCATGAAAAATAGACTTTTTGGGTGAGACGAATATATTGTTAGGCGAGTTCACCTGTTATACTTTTTTTTTAAAAAAAAAATTTTTTAGAAATGTCATACTTGTTTAAGTTTAAAATTAAATAATCTATTAAAAACGATGGATTAATTAATACTAAACTCAAACGGAAAGTTTCAATTGATAGTTGATATCTAAAAACCGACTTGAATTTATTTGGAATGCTTTAATTATTTCTTAAGAAAAATGAATGCATATGTGACTATTGATATTTATTTGCATTTTCAATTGTCCAATAATTTCTTCAAATAAATCCCACAATTATTCTAAATAATTGTTACTTTACTTTCATTCGCTTCCTTGACAATTTCGCTTTAGGCACGAAATTCTGAATTATTTGGACATTTTATTCATCCACGCCATTTAAGAAAGTTAATGGTCTCTTCATGATGGAGTATAAAGGCTAGGTAAGTTAAAGTAACGTTGTATATAATTTTAAAATATTTTTTTTTAACTATAATTAAGTACCATAGGTAATTAAAAGTCTATATAAAGTGTCAATCACCCACTTCTTAATTTGAAGTATTCCTAACTAACATATTGGGATTGGCTACAACTTTAATCATATGTTGCGGTTGAATTTTTGACCGAAAATAAAAAAA